AAGCTGCTCGTCGGGCTCCACTGTCTGCTCTTCACAGACGAGCAGACGAGTGGATTTTCGAGCCCTGATTAGGGGTCTTAACAGACCCCTGATATTTCCCTTTTAAAAGAGAAAAAGAGATTGAGAACACCGAGTCCTCAATCTTTTTTTCTGCATCCCGTTATATATGAACAGGAATCCTCTGTACTGAGTGTTCCTGTTCATTTATAACATGTGGCGATAGTGTGTTTACTATAACCACAATCATGAATGAACAGGAAGTGATGTAGATCACTTCCCATTCATTCATAATTGAGGATATAGTGAACATATTCTGTCCTCAATTATTTACAAACACTCAGCGATCACTGACTGCTTGTACCCGCTATCCTTCCAGACACGCTGTCCCAGGAGGCTGAGCAAGCGGTGCGGGGAGGAGAGCTCAAACTGACAGCTGTCTCCTCCCCCGCACCGCCGGCCAGCCTCCTGTGACAGCGCTGGCTGTGTCCGACACAGCCGCTCTCCTCCGGTGCTGGGAGGAGACACCGGCCGCTCAGTGCTCTCCTCCTGCAGCGCTCGGCTGCCTGTGACAGTTTCTCTCCTCCCCGTTGGGACACAAAGCAGCGCCCAGTGGAGAGGAGAGAAAGAAACAGATGCACCGCTATAGCGACAGAAAAATGGCACTTTCGGCATTTTGCCAAAAGAGCCATTTTCGGCCGATATATCGGTGCATTTCTAGTAGATACGCATCCTTAAGATCTATGGAAACTAAAAGATCTCCTTGACATAAAGAGGCGACAAGTGAACAAATAAACTCCATCTAGAATTTGCAAATACATACAAACACATTGAGTTTTTTAAATCCAGAATCAGACGAATGCCTCTGTTGTCTTTGGGAATCGTAAATAGGTTTGAGTAAAAACCTTAAAAGCGTTTGTTAAAAGGAACATGAATAACGCCACCCTGATCTAACAGACCTTGAACTGCACATGGAGAAAGTTAACTCTTTTGTTATTGCAGGAAACCACCTCTCGGACCCAAGGACCTGAAATATGAGCTTCCCATGTTCCCGCAAATTCCATCAGACATCCACCTCACTTGAGATGGAAAAGGCAGGGGGCGACCTTCATGCTGAAATGGACTTCTCTGAAGGTTTTGGATTGCCAAAAACGTCTAGTGGGTCGAGAGGGCTTGGATTTCTCAGACATCTTGAGATTGGGAGCGGAAAACCTTGTTTGGAAGAACAAAAGAAACTTTCAAAAAGACGGAAAAGGAGCAGGTTTACAACGCTGATCCTTATTTTTCTGCATCTGAGGTAAGGGGTCACTTATCTCCTGTAGCCTTTTTAATAATCTTATACAGCAACTCCCCCCAAAAGGTCAATACCTATAAATGGTAAATGTAAACGCCCCTTCTTACACTGGGGTTCTGCCAACCTGCACTTAAGCCAGATACTATGTGAATCAGAATGGACGACAAGCATCAGGAACAACATCAAACATGAAGAGCAGTCATCTGATCAATGCAATAAAATGTGGCTCCATTCAGGCAGTAGCCTTATCAGAACTAAGATTTTGTTTTTGAAGTGGCTAAAGTCTGAGAAATGAGGACCGTAGCCAATAATGGTAGAAGAGAAGGACCAGTTAATGAATAAATTAAAAAGACTTTCATTTTTTTGCCAGTAGAATCCTTAAATGAAGAAGCATCATCAATAGGAATAGTTGATACCTTGTTAAGACAAGAAATCGGAGGATCAACTTGAGGAATAGCTTTTTTTTTATAAATTCCTCCAGCGAAGGATACAGGGACTTGAAATGTCTAGGAAGCAGAAATTGCTTATTCAGAAATTCTCAATCTTTATAAAATAGAATGTAGAATAGAAAGCTTGCAGACACTCGAAAGGTTTATGCGCACCTAGACTAGAAACGGCATTAGTAGAAACAGCTGAATCCTCCAATTTTAAATAGGAATGCACAACTTCAAAAAAGCAACCAATCTTTCTGATGTTGAGAAATCACACATGGCTGAAAGGCAGCCATCAGACGAAACAAACTTACTCACCATCAGACAATCTGCTGAAAAAGCAACTGCAGTTCCAGAAATATCATCCTCAGAATCCACAGGCGAAGTAGAAATGCAATCTTTACCCTTATCTTTACCCTTATGTACAGGGACCACAATTCTTCTCTAAAAGAGATATAAAGTTTTCATAGAAGAAAATTCAGCCATTGTAATAAAAGACAAAGAATCACTCGGCAAGGCAGGAGATGCAGTATTAGGAACTTTAGATTGTTTTCTTTCTCTATACCATTACAAGCTATACAATCCTTGCCAGAGGGAATCTCAGCCTTACACTTATTACAATAAAGATGCAGATTATTCAGCAGTCACATCTTGCTCACCCCTCCTCAGACATATCTATATCTATAAACCAGTGTAATCATCCACAGAGTTCCCATACACTAACAGCCCCATTAGGTGTGAGGTGAGAAAAGGCAGACGAGGTGCTGTATACAGCAGGATATGTGAAGAGGCTTTTGCACTGCAAAATCAGCCCTTTCACTCCAAAGGAAAAAGGGCAAATAAAGATTGTAGCAGTCGCCGTATACGAGCAGTTTCCAACTGCAGCCGTCTGGTGCCTGTGATATCAATATTTAAATAGGAGGCACACAAACTTCAGAATAGGCATTACAACCATTGAGACAATAAATTGTAAAAATTACACAGCCACTATAATAGAGAGGAGGCAAAGAAACCTATATCCATCCAAACGCAAAATGCATAAAAATGTATGACTCCGTGGCCCTGTTCCTTTTATCAATGTAGGAATCCCCAGACGATGGCCTGACCGAATAACTAAATGATCATGTGGACTCTGGACCATTGCAGGATGTAAGTACGGAGACCAGAAACTTCCTGTATCCTGAAGACTAGAGCAACGTAAAGGATTTAACTTATCTGATATGAATCTCTAAGGGTGTTATTCACCAACCTACCGAAGGCGTCGTGGACATTGCTGGACGTAGTGATTGACCTTTGGGATTACGTCGGTGGATCAATGCGTGGGATTTTTATTTTTTTATTAAAGGACTCGTCAAAAACTTGTTTTTTTTTCCAATTAAAAAGGATTTTATTCTAAAAGTTTGGTGTGTTTATATACATTTTACTTTAACCCTTTAGTAAATGAGTAGAAGTACTCTCACTCGCTCACCCCCCGCCCCCTTCTTTCCTGTCCTGCCATGCCTGTGCTTGGATTAAGGGTCTAGTTGGGAATTTTAGGGAGACCCCACTTTTCCCCATTTTTGGGGGTGGGTTCCCCCTTAAAATTCGTACCAGACCTAAAGAGCCCGGTATGACTTTTGGGGGGAATCCAATGGGTTTTTCTTTCCATTTTTTAACTTTCCTACCAGACCTAAGGGGGCACCATTTTTTTTGTTTACATTTGCAGGGAGAACGGTCTGCTTCGGCTGTGTGTTCGGCTCAGCCGAGCCAAAGCATATGCATTTGGTTGAGCTGTTTGGCTGCCATACGGCTATTGTGAATAGCCTGTACAGCAGCCCTTCGTTTCGTCTGAACCGAAGGTCTCCGGCGGCCGAAGGATTAGCCAAAACTACATCCTCTGGCCTTTTAGTGAATAACCCCCTAAGTCTAGTCTCCTTAGGACACCAAGCAAAACTAGCAGTTGTGAAGTGGGAGGGGATATGTCCTTAAAGTGGCAGGTTTTTATTTTTTTTGTTTGCCTAGTGTCCATTTTTCCTAGAGGCAGCAGCATAACCCTACATATAAGAATTCTTAAGAGCGGTGTCCCTCAATGGACGATAGAGAAACAATTTTCACATTTAACATTCACATCATATTCATTAAGACTGACTGAATGAATATTAGCATGCAATGTTGTTAACAGTTAGCAACAGTGTACCTCACAGCTACAATATTGTTACTATCTGACTTGCTGCAGCTTCTAATGCACATTGATAGAAGCTCACAATGTACAGCAAAAACAAATTAAGCAATTTTAGTACAGGAGAGGGGTCTATATAACTGCAAGACTAAAGGTGAAGCCGTAGTTCTGCTTTAAATGTTTGACTGTTTAGGGGGGCTGCTTTTGGAGCGATTTCCCTCTCACTTACTGCCCCAGTGACCACACCAACCATTGCCATCTGCAGCTGAGACTAAGGATAGGTATTGACATAAGATGAAATGACTAACATTTTGGATTTCCTAATACAGTTGGTCTCTAAGACAATTGTCACCATAAAAAAATATTACATAATTTTCCAAAAAGCAATAAAATCTGGAAAAAAAAAAAAACATGCCTACAAAGCCAAAATGACCAACAAATCCACTGAATATTGTCTGCACATAGATGAAAAGTAATTTTAATGTTATTAGCAATGCTACTAAATGGAAAAACACATATTATAAAGGGGCCCAAAACTGTGCCTTGAGGGACCCCACAAGATAAGACAACATTTTATGACAAATACCCATGTAACACATAAGCAAATTGTGGTACAGTTAGTAATTTACAAAGAAAAAAAGGTAAAGATCTGGAGTTATAAAAGTCCTAAAAACAAGGATATTTAGTGAATACAGCTTTAATGTTAAAAAAAAAAAAAAAAAAGCTTTGGTTATGGAATGCATTCGCTGTGGTATTGTTTCGATAAGCTTATGCAATGTCACAACATTTGCTGCTAGATTAACGACTGCAGTACCTATCCAAATCGGAGACTCTTAGGCCTTGTTCACACCAAGCGCAGAGCAGGTGCAGAGCAGATCAGTTCCAGACCGGATCAAAACTGCGTCCAATGCATTCCAATGGTATTTTTTGCTCCAGTTCACATTGCAGCGTGCAGTTGCAGAGCAGATCCAGAGCAGGTGAAAAAACTGCAGCAGGCCCTATTTTACCTGCTCGGGATCTGCTCTGGAACGCATCAAAAATGCATGCAAATGCCTGTAACGCACTGAAAGCCCGTTTTAAACTTTAAAAAAAAATAACTTTACCAAAAAGAGCCTGGAACGCATCAAAAACGTGTCTAAAAGACTAGCATGCGTGTGCAGAAACCTGACCGGATCTGCTCTGCATTTGGTGTGAACAAGGCCTTAGCCCAAACCAGGTGGTGACTGTTTTGGACAGTGGATAATTCAGAACTGAATGTATAAACCTATATTCAACAGATTAATCCAAAAATCGAATGTAGCACTAAAAGCACTTACCTGGATCATTTCCTCAACTGGAAGTGGATCACTGCCTTCATCTATATTCTGAACCAGGCCATCATCCGCAAGAGGGGCGAGAGCTGCACTGTTCTCTGGAATAATCTCACTTTGGGGTTCTACATAAGTGCTTTCAATGTAATGTGTACCAATGTCAGGGGCTGTGCCAATAGATTCCACATGTGTAGAAACATCAGGGGCAGCACTAGCCGACGCCACCAAGTCCAAATTTGAAGTCTCATCATTTGTTGCCTTTTGGACGGGTAACAACTGTGCGTCCAATAGGCCAGAGCTTGAAAGTTTTTCAAACAACCCTTTACAATACTCTGCATCTGCCAACAGCTGCTCTGATTCGATTTCCTCCTCGTTCTCTTGTCTCAGATCTGTATCCTGACCACCAAGAGAAGATATTAAAGAATGTGCAGATTCCTCTGGATCATGACCTTTTGGAAAAGAAACAAGCCAGTTATTCCAGAACATTCACAAAACAGGTCTCACAAAACTGAATCGAGGTACCTGGTAGTACCAATGCGAACTGCCAGTATCCTGCAGCCTCTTAGCAACAACTTCCTGTCTACGTGCATGTGCTCCCAACAAGGGCTGAATTGCAGGTTTTCCTAACAATAGCGGGCAATGCCTGTGTAAAGTGTGTTAAAACAGCCACTTGTAGTTTCAATTGGATTACCCATATGAGAGGGTGACAAAGCAGGAATATAAACTGAGAGACAGTGATATCTTATATAAAGGAGGCACCTGTGAGCAAGCACCTACATGGCAGGATTACAGGCTATTTGCGTTTTTGAAAGCAGAAGACTTAAAAATATTGAAAATTGCTTGAAGTTAAAATTAGCATGTTAAAGGTTATTAGCATGATAAAGGTTATATAAAATGATACAGACTGGGTAAACATATACTTTAAATTTGCCATTTTGTACATCAAGTTCATCAGTTTCATAACCTGGGACTTGACAGTTCAAGAACAGTAAAATAGGGTTTAGTGCCAGGAAGGGGTGTGGGCTTAAGTCAAGGCATCATGTATTCCTTGGACCTAAGATTGATGAGGCTCCACAGATGCAGGGATCATTATAAGAGCCAACACCCATCAACTTATGTAAAAAGTATTTCATGTGTAGTATTTTTTCCTTAAAAATATAAATTTCTTTTAGAGCTGCAGCTAACTATTATTTTCAAAATCGGTTAGCCGATTATTAAGTTCGATTAATCGGTTAATCGGATAAACTATAAAATAAAGTTTAAAAAATGGCTCCAGTGATGGACTACTAGTTTGTATTGAGGTTGTAGTCCATCACAGGAGCAAGCTTGGACCGGTGGAAGTAAACAAGAAAAAAAGATAGTGTGGTGTGCAATATAGTGAAATGGAAAGTGTACAATTATACAGCAATGCATGCAGAATGGCAACGGTTATAGAGGACTACAAATCCCAGCAATAGTACATTATACAGCGCAATGCAAAATACCGCCAGCTATAGAGGAATACAACAAATCCCAGCAATAGTACATAATAGCTGGCGGCATTCTGCATTGCGCTGTATAATGTACTATTGCTGGGTTTTGTAGTCCTCTATAGCTGGTGGTATTTAGCATTGTACCACTTTATAATGTATTATTGCTGGGATTTGTTGTACTCTTCTACAGCTGGTGGTATTCTGCATTGCGCTGTATAATGTATTATTGCTGGGACTTGTAGTCCTCTATACAGCACAATGCAGAATATCACCAGCTATAGAGGAGTACAACAAATCCCAGCAATACATTATACATACAGTGTATACTGTATTGCTGGGATTTGTATTCCTCTGTATAATATACAGCACAATGTACTATCAGCTATAGAGAAATACAAATCCCAGCAATACATTATAGAGCACCATGTGTGGGAAAGTGCAGGCTTACCTGAGCAGTCTTCCAGCAACGTGCTTCTGAGATCGGACCTGTCTATCAGCAGCTGTCATCCCCCCACACCTGCTCCTCCTTACTACATCTCCCCGCGTCCCTGTGCCGATCGTGGATGTGGATGGGCAGGAAATGTGAGGCGGGGAGGAGGTGCGACGTGTGGAGCGTGGATGCGAGCGGGTCTGGCAGCGGCGAGCGTGAGGTGGGGAGGAGGTGCGGTGCACAGCGTGTGGAGCTGTGAACAGGGCCAACTGATCAGAAGCCGATTAATTGATTATTGAAAAAGTTGACAACTTTTTCAATAATCGATTATGTCGATTAGTTGCTGCAGCCCTAATTTCTTTCATTTACTAATTTACTTACTATTTTTCTATGTAAAGTCAGCACTAACAAAAAAAAGTAACAGTAATACGGGTGCACGGCTGACCCTTTTACATATCAATGTGTTCTGTAGGCTTGCATATGGGACTTATTTTCCTAACAGGAGTGTTAGAATTAGGATCTGCATGCAAAAGACTTGGGAAAGGTTTCAAGTCCCTTAGGCTGGGTTCACACCTGGGCGTACGGAATATGCGCGTTTGGCGCGCGTTTTTACAGCGATTTGCGGTAAAAGAAACACGCGACAAACGCGTGTTTCCGAGGGCTATCCGGCTGTATCCTAATGGATACGTGCGGCAAATATGCCCCAAAGAAGCTCCTGTACTTTGGGCGTAGGGCATTTTACAGCGCGTTCCTACGTGCTGTAAACCGCCCAGGTGGGAACCATACCCTTAGGCAATTATTGGTTTTCACATGTTGAGCGTTTTACAGCGCATAGGAACGTGCTGTAAAACGCCCAGGTGTGAACCAGGCCTAAGGAAGGACATCCACCACCGGAGCAGCCAATAATTGTGCCAAGCCATTGTATTGATAGCATCAGCCATTGCACAACAAGGCTGTGTTTGTAGCTCAGAGCTACTCATCTACTTATTCCTTACCTTGATGCTGTAAAGATTACCAACTGGAATCCTCCTGCCCCCACTTTCAGATGTTGAAAGGGCATACATGCTACACAAATATAGAGATCCTGTTCTGCGTTTCCCCCAGTATCTGATGTCACCTAGCAGTGTTTGATGCTGATATAGTTTGCCTACAGCTACCTGACATTTTTGCAAATAGTGAAGTAAAGCTTCAGTTCAATCTATTTTCAGTAATGCTTTCTTAAAACCTAGATAATCCATCTAAGTAAAGAGGTCTCCGTAAAGGAAAAGCAGTGGCTAAAAATTACTTGTTTCATGTTCCTTTCTGATCCATTAAGGGACACAGGAAATCTAACCGTCGGGCTATACTGCCAGCTTCTGGAGGACTGGACACTGGCAAACAAAACTGTAGTGCAGAACCTCCCACTATCGGCACAACTGTTTTGTACTAGTGTCCTAGGAGGAGCATATAAGGTTACCGACAGAAGATTCCACACAGCAATAGAACCTAGTGCACTCAAGCTCTGGGCCGATAGCTTGAAACAGCTTAACAATAGATGCAAAACAGAGAATGAGTAGTGTTGCAAAGAGCTTCTTAAATTGACAACACTATATAAATGCCTTTATTTGGTCAAATCTAAAAACACCTTACATGCCCTGGGCTTGTTTCGTCATTCTCGTGTTGCCCGAGCACACCAAGCTGTATTGCTGTAGCTTATGTTGATAGAGCAAGAATGAACTAAAATTGACTTGTCAAAAAAAAGTCACATTCATTTTGGGGCAAGTACAGTGGCTCAAGCAGTGACTTGGCTGTTTCTATACCAACAATTTTCTACTGAAAACATTGCTAAAAAAACAAAAAAAACTTACTGTCCCGATGCAAGTAGTCTTCATATTTTGGATGTTTCCATTGTGCTCCTGGACTAGTTTCAAGCTTTCTTTTCACTCCACTGCTTGGCGCTTCATCTGTTTCCAGATTACCCTTTTTCCTAGTCTGAATTAGGTTTAACAAGGAATTCACTTTGTCTGGATCATAGAATGAATTATCAGAGTGCATTTCACTCACAGTTGCTCGGCTCGTGCTTTTTCCATTATCGAGATCATCCTCTATGGGTTCATAGTCGGAGATGGGACTGAACTGCTGAACCCGTCGATTCTCCATGATCAGTTCCTTTGCATGTTTTACTAGTAATGTATATGCATCTGACCCTTGCAGATAGCTCTTAACAACTCGAAGTATCCCACTCTTCTCCCTTGGAGCTACAAACAAGGTTTTCTTATCATCGCAACTCTGTTCATAGTTTCTAAGTGTATAATCTTTGTGCTTGTAAGATCCTTCTTCTCGTCTTTTCAAATACAAGTGCACATGTTTCTCCACAACAGTGTTGAAGTTGTCCGAAACGTCTGATTGAGCCTTAAGGATGGCATAGTGTAAAGCGCCAAGAAACGTCATAAACTCAGGCATAATTTCATGGTTTTCTGGTATTAAAGTGGGTTGTACTTTGAAGCGTGACGCTGAATAAAAAGAAAACATAAAACCTGTAAGTGGAAGCAAACTGCCATATGACTAGCTAAATAAAAGTGAAAAACAGGATTAACTATGAGGACTGAAAGCTCACACAAATCAAAATAAAATATTACAAACTTTGTTCTCACCATAAACACCTCTTCTTGGAGCCCATTGAGGTAGTCATTAACAGCCAGGTTATACTGCCCACTACAGGAGGATTGGACACTGGCCCCCAAAAAAGTTGCCAGCAAGCCCATGGTAATCCTTCCTACCACAAGTACGCTTCTGTTTTGTAGCAAAGCAGTACCAAGAGCATGATCATAAACAGGAGTGGGACCTGTGTCCCTCAATTGCCTGAGGAAGAAACCATGCAGTTCCGAAACATCGGCTGTGATTATGTCACACTTTGTAGTCAATGAATATTGACTTGTATTTATGCTGGAGTGCTAGTGACTTCCCTTTACCCTGGATTCATTTTGCGGAGGCATCCGTTGTCATTTTTAGCACCCACCCGAATTTTCTGGGTTCTTTCAGCAGTCAGGAGAGCGATGGGCTTCTACGCGTTTTGAACTGTGTCCCTCAATGAACTCCAAGAAAAGGATTTTATAGCAAGCACAAAAATCCTATTTTCCTTCTCATCCACTGAGGAACACAGGAAGTCAAACTGTCGGGACATCCAAAAGAAGCCCAATGGAGGGGTGGACAACACAGTAAACATGCTCAGGGCCCTCCTTACCATAATTGCCTTTATTTGTATCGTTACTGTAATGTCATCCTTATATTGTAACTAGAGGTGCAGCGAAATGAAAATTTTAAAAACGAAAAAAAAAAAAAAGTCAGGCCGAAACCGAAAATGTTTTTTATTGTTGCAATTTTTTAAAATATTTTATAAACTTAATTTTTTTAAATTTATTTTTATTTATCAATTCATTTTTTATTAAATATTTTTAATTTTGACTTTACTTTTAAGGGCTTCTGGGAAATATTAGGGGTCTAAACAGACCCCTAATATTTCACTTTTAAAATAGAAAAAGAGATTGGGAACACAAAGTCCTCAATCTCTTTTTCTGTGTCCCCTGTTATAAATGACCAGGAATCCTCTAGGAGTCTTCCTGTTCATTGATAACATGAGAACATTGTTTGTTTACTATAACCACAATTATGAATGAATGGGGGTGATGTAGATCACTCCCTTTTCATAATTGAGGATATAGTTAACATACCATATCCTCAATTATGTACACACACTCAGCGATCACTGATCACTGAGTGTGTGTACCTTGCTTTTCTCTCTGACACGCTGTCACAGGAGGCTGATCAAGCGGTGTAGAGAGGAAAGACCAGCCTCCTGTGACAGCGCGGTCTCCGCCCTCACACCGCTCTGCCGGACTGTGATAGGCGGCTGAGCGGTGTGGGAGGAGAGACGCCGGCCGTTCACAGCGCTCTCGTCCTGCAGCGCTCGGCCGGCTGTCACTTTCTTTTCTCCCCGCTGGAACAGCGCCCAGTGGGGAGTAAAGAAACCAGGGATGCGCCGATGTATTGGCCGAAACATGGCTCTTTCGACATTATGCCAAAAGTGCCATTTTCGGCCAATACGTTTCGGCGGCCGATATATCGCTGCATCCCTAATTGTAACTGCGCAAACTTGGCGCTATACATATCCTGTATAGTAGTAATCAAAATGCTAAAAGGCATACCGAAAACATCAGAACTAGAGACTGCAGTTCAAATAGAAGACTGAAAGACTTTATGCCATAAGCTGAAATCAAAGGAGCCCTGAATACCGTGTTTCCCCGTGTGTCTTATTTTTTTTTTTGCACGAAAAAAGACACTAGGTCTTATTTTCGGGGGATGTCTTACCTGGCTGGGGGAGGACCGGACGAGGTCCCGGAAGGCGGTGTGCTGTTGCCGGTCCCGGTGTCGGATGATATTCCGCTTCCATCGGGCGTGTGGAGCGGGAGCTGCGGCCGTCGGGCGTGTAGGCGGGAGCTGCGTCTGGCGTGTGGGTGGGGCGGAAGCTGCGGCCGGCTGGGGTGTGGGCGGGGCGGGAGCTGCAGCCGGTCTTTACACTTAAAATTCAGTTTATTTGCAGCTACCCCGAAAGTAAGACCTAGCGGATCTCTGTAATATAAGACTTACCACCGAACTAGGTCTTATTTTCGGGGTAGGTCTTATATTACAGAAATCCCCGAAGATAGCGCTAGGTCTTACTTTTGGGGTAGGTCTTACTTTCGGGGAAACACGGTACCACATGGCAAAAACATGAGCATGATGTTCTGGAAAGATGGGCACATTTATGTGTCCTTGATGTCAATAAAGGCTAGAAAGTCTGTCATGGAGAGACTGACATGCCTGACGAATTCCATACGGAACTTCTGGGCCCAAATGAAGACATTTAGGACTCAGATTTAAGAAAGGGAGAATGTCCCTTTTTGGTTTGTGAGATGAACAGATTGGAATAGAATCCCTAGAATTAATCTTAGGCCCAGAAGACACAATTTTTAGAGTTTCACTCCCAGCCCCCTCCTCTGTTTTATCAGTTCCAACGTTTTGTCTTCTGGACCAAGGTGGCATAGGAACTGGGACAATGACACCTTGGTCCAGAAGACAAAACATTGGAACTAATAAAACAGAGGAGGCTGGGAGTGAAACTCAAGCTTTCAGCCCGTGGAAACCACATTCTGCACCCCACCATGTAAGATGCAAGCTATCCAGATTCACAGAAAGGTTACAGACATCATCCTACTTTAGAAAGTGGGCATGCACTCTCATGACAATTTCATACCAACTGAATGGTTCTACTACATACCCTATGATATTTGGTAATCAATTACTCTGCTCTACTACTTTATAATTGAAGCTTTGTTTTGTAGGATCAATTATCAATGTTTATTGAAACAGAAATAAAAGATATCGCACTTACCCAGTGGCAAAGTCTCTCTGGACTGCTGATAGATGAAGAGAGCGTGCAGGGGGTAAGGTTTTCTACTCTGAGAACCTGAAATGGTATATTGTTTAGTGAATAGAATTTGTTTTACATTTTCAACATCAAGGTGGTGGACTTACCATACATAGATCCCATCGGCGTTGGAAAATAGAAGAACAGGAATCCTCTGTCTGGCAGTGGTTTAACCAAAGCCTACAATGGAAAACCAAATCTACATTACAAATCATAAGGATTTAAGCAGAATTTTATGCACCATCAGCTCCCAACTATGAAATTAGGAACCAAGAGTAGAAGTAGTGTAGTTTCAACAGATGATCTCACATCTAGCTAAACACCTGCTGCATTACTCGCCTACCATTAGGAAAAAATCAAGTACTGAAATCAAGTACAGTGGAAGTGTGGAAAATATTGCTGTAAACCCCCAGTAATCAATCAGAAACAGATTACTATATTCATGCTAATGCAAGGATATTTCTGAGTAGCTAGCATGAGTTACAACAAACATTGCGGCTTGTCAAATGACCATATTACAATTACACAAATATAAATTGTGATTATGCTAGCATTGTTTTGTCCTTACTCCAGGAAAAAGTTCCTTCTTAAATACTCCCATTAAAGAGGACCTTTACCCATATCTTTAAAATAACAGACACCTTTAGAAATGTTTAGTAATGACAATCTACAAACAGATACTTCTAGATAATTGCCGGCTTTGTATTTTTTCCATTCCTTATTTCTCTTTTCCTTGCCATTCTTCTGACAGTGGCCATGTTAACTAAGGGCAGGTTACTAGATCTCACTTTACTTCCTGCAACTCTGGTACATGTGGCCATGTGCATCATCTCAGGTGAGCAAAATCCCTTTCCCTGAGATCTCATGAAATTACAGATGATTTCCCAGCAATGCTCTACTGATGTAACCTTCCCAGGATGCAATGCTTGGGCACATTACAACATTTTTGCCAAAACTGGACCAGGAAGTGATAAACTATTTGTAAGTAAATGAAAAACATGTTTAACCTTTCAAAGTACCGCAGCGCTGAATACTGAAAAATGGCCTGGATGGGAAGGGGGTGTAACACCGCGGATGTCAACTGGTTAATGAATGTAAGATGATTTTACATCAGAATGCAGAGCTGCATGCTGTCGTGATTTTTAGTGAAAGGGGGTAAAGGTCCGCTTACAATCTTTTTTAACTAGGTCCAAGTCATAACTAAATTACCTGGTTTTCCTCTCCTTTCGCTGCTCATCTACTGTACCCACTGCGGGTCCAGCAATGTTATTGAGCCGCTATTCAAATGGCTCATCCGTTGTTGTTGGAATCCAGAGGCTGCACTGCAATTCCCCTTCATATGTAACAGCATGCGACCGGAGGGAGCTTTACACAAAAGCCCTTTCTTGACTGCTGGAAGTGATGTGCTTTTCCAAGGCAACAAAAACACACCAGCTCCTAAACACAGAGTGCATAACTCTTTATGAATGCAAAAAGCCCTAGGCACTTTATGAGATGTTCATGTGCTATAATAGTTTAGGAGTTGAAGTTCTGTTGCCTTGAAACACTGGGCACATGTCACTTCTGGAAGTGATGCTAGAGCTCCTCTGTTGGACGCCCACCAGCCACTCACTGTTGGAGCGATTTTTTTTTTCTTTACACACTGGTCTGATTGCTGAATAAAGCCTTTGCAACTACTTCAAAAAACAGTGTTGCCACCATCTCTAATCCAAGTTCTAAAATTGTGTCTAATATGTACTTGTTTTACAAAGCTTTTGCATCTTTTGTAAAAAACAGATATGAAAAGGGGACAGTTTGCAAAAATGTATACCGTGTCCTTTTTCACCCAGAATAACTCTAATGCCTTTTTATTTCAGTTAAGCTGCCCCTTTAGTCTAAAGGCTTCAAAATAGCAAATGGCAGCAGTCTTCTTTGGCAAAACTTGACAAAAGACAGTGTGTTGAAAAAAAAGACAAAAAGGTGGATTTTTCAAAGCATTGCTTAGCCATAGACAGCATTTCTAGGTGGTCCCTATAATACAACAAATCTTCACTTTGAGTTCAGGTCCACTTTAGGTGTCTAACTACTGGTCATCAAGCATGACAGGTGGGCTCAATAACCAATAGCTAGGTACAGGAGGCAGCAAGCCAGCCCATGATTAGGGAAGTAAAGTCAGTAATTGCACATCAGGGCATCCTAGTTATCAGAGATGACTGGGACATTTATAGACATGCCATGCGGGTGCTTAATTTTCATTACTATTGCTGCTTTGGAACTTATCAGCTGATAATCAAAACAAAGCAAGCAACCAAAACAAAGCAATAATCACAAAAGGTTAACAGTTATAATGTAATAGACATATTAAACATTACATAGTAATTGATCAATGTAGAGAAACTCAAAACAGACAAATCTTACTAGTTTTTCTTTCTCCAGCTTCTGTAACAATTTCTGGAAATCATTTCCCGTTCTCGTCTTGTCACATACTTCACAGAGACGACTATATATCCCACCTTTCATCACTGTTAGAACATGTACCAAAAACATCACCTTAATATAATGTATTTGTTTAACCTTTGCTTAAATGCATATTTACAAATCACAGCACATTAGCGAGAATGTGGCATAACTAGTAAACTCCCCCTCTGCTATATACAAAGTTATTTTCAGGAATATTCATGAAATAAAAAACAATAATAATGGAAAGAAAACAAAAAAACTGTATTGCTGCCTTACACAGGAGGTCACCAGGAGAGGTGCTGCCTTACATTGGTGATCAGCCCCGTTACAAATATAAAGATTAGTGTCTGTGGCTACTCAATTGGTAATCACTGATATTGGTGTTGGTGATTACCAGTGGAGAGGAGAGGCCCCTCATGATTGGAGCCCAAAATTATGTAGGTACCATGAAGCAGAAAATAAATCCACCACTTCATGGAACCCGCAACAATCACTGGAGGAAGTCTATTTTTTCGCAAAAAGGCGCAATTACAAATTTGCTAATATTTGTTATTTATTAACTCAATACAGTTTTATCTTTTAGATTTAGTCAGAAAATAATTTTTTTTGTGCACGGATACTGATTTTGGTGTGTTTTAACAATTGAATTGTGTATTTTTATTGGTTTAATATTAATTTGAGAAACATTTGCGCAATTATCGCAGGGCCTACAAATTTAGTATCACCATCTTTTTATTCTACCGGGCCTGCGCTTTCAGAAAATATATGGTTTGGGGGGTCTTTTACAAACGCTAGCAACGCAGCAGTTGAAAATCAAACCAATAGGAAAAAATTGCAGAAAATTCAAAAATGGCTTGGCCAGCTGATTTGAAAAATGTTCCGGAGGGCTTGGCAGCGAAAGGGTTAAAGGGAACCCTGGATTAGGAAGGCTGGATTAGGAAGGCTGGACTAGAGGGACACATCAAAAACCAATGCATATAAAACGTATAGTTTAAAGAGCAGAAAGATCACTTTATAATATCCTGGTAAAAATATGAACATATATACTGGATCACAGAAGGAAAAAAAACAACCCAAAAACCTTACACCTGATGCTACCCTTAATGCATATCTAGACCCAAAAATGAAAATGTGATATAACAAGTAATGGAGATAAACAAAAGTCCAGCTTGTGTGACAACCATGATTGCCTCCATAGGTACAATGAAGAAAGGAGTGTAGACACAAAAGTCTGTTCTTTGCAAAAAACCTAATACAGCCACCACATCTGAGGACTGCAATAAATTACATGTTTATTATTAGATATGCTGTAAGTATATATGATTAACACCATAATTTTGGTACATAGTAGGTGCCAACAAGAGACTCTATACAGTAAACGATAAGGTGTTGCTATATCCCTAAATTTCATATGACACATCACCCCCCAACCCCCCAATACTATAGCTAGCTCTATTACCCTAAGGAAAAACATGTTGCTAACCATTTCATATTTACAGACATCTGCTTAGAAGTATTGCAAAACTGTTTGGTAACGATACCTTCTTTAAACTTCATATGAGTTTCTTTGTAGAACAGTAATGATGGAATCCTCTTTTTAATCTGTTCCAGTCGCATTATACATTCCAAATCAAGCTTCTCTGGTCTGATGTACAAAAAGACATCACACATATAATTTCGCACTACGGTTTACATATAATCTCACACTGAGGTTTACATATAATATCACACTGAGGTTTACATATAATTTTGCAATTATTTAAGTTGTAGAAAGAAAAATATTCTATCACATTAAACCTCCAAAAAATCATTCCTGACCCCCTCAAATAAGAATCATTCCAACTCTTGATAAAAGCATTGCCATACAATAAATTGGGTAACTTGCATGTTTTTAAAAAAATTCAAACTAGCCATTTTGTAATTTAATCATTTGACAAAGTTATCTCTCCGTTACAATCTGTAGCCAGCTATGAACTGCAAAATAAAGACATGTAGAGCAGTGGTTCTCAACCTGTGTAACCTCAGGATCCACATTTGTCCTTGGTCATTAAGTCACGACCCACGTTGCACTGCACTGCAATGCACAGCATTTGGGTGCAGGCGATCGAACTGCGGGTGGGAGGTTCATTTGGGGTGTCATTCAAATGAATGGCAACGCAATGCACCTTCCACACCAGAACAGGCATTGCGTGGTATAGTGCATTAATCGCATGGGACTGAGTGATTAACTAAATAAAAACAACTTCGAGGCTCCACCTTTTCCCACACTATTCGAAACCCAAAAAATCTGGGCTCAAGTATAAAGCTCAACAAGATTACATAAAATGTACTTACAGCTTGAATGGCAAAAAAATGCCATTTGTGGACTTCAGGGAAGCAAAGCACAAGAGTTTTCCATTACACAATAGCTGTCCTCTCCACAATATAAAACCATTTCTGTCTGTTAAAAGTAAACAAGCACAGTCATTAACATACAATAAAACAAACATAACATAGGCATTATTAATATACAGTAAACGTAACAAAGTATAAATATTTTATACCTTGTGTTTTATATAATTACCTTACTACAGAAACTTAACTATTTAATCAAAACAATCACCAACTAAGGCTATTCACACTGATGCTAGTATTTCTAAAGTTCATTTTACTGCCCACTGGGGACCCACCTGTCTTGTGGTGGCCTCATGTGTGTCCCAACCCCTTGCTGACCTATCAAAGCCTAAGAACATACTTATATACTTCATAGGAGTAATCCGAAAAGTAGCTGTGATTTCTAACCTTCAGTGGTACCAAATACTCCTCTCTAAATGCTAAAGATTGTCCTGAATCTCTCCTGACAAAGAATTTCCATCCGTAGCCAATATCTCCATCTTCTGCCCAAGCCAGGAACAGCAGAGGTAAGTGAGAAACTTGGGGTGTAAAGTGATGTTAAACCAAGGCACAGATTATATACACAATTTTCTACCAATAAAAAAAAACAAAAAAACATTTAGGGTTCAGTGGCATCCACACAAACAGCCTCCTATAAGCTAAATTTCACCTGAAAAACACACCACCTAGCCCAAGCATGGAGGGGGATCTCCTAGCCCATGAGATAATTCTAGGCTACCTCTTTACATCTGCAAATCAATGATCTCTCTACACATGTGGATAAACTTAGCAAAAAAAAAAAAGCAGTGAACACTAGTACAATGCACAAAAATCTCCCTTCTCTCCCTTTGCAGATTTTAACCCTAGGGCTTCAGAACAAGAGGTCATGTTTTATTTATAACCACTGTTACCACATTCGGTTTATGATGCAAATCCACCATACCTATTTGTTTTTCATTTAAAAAAAAAAAAAAACTGAACCAGTCTACTGCATTTAAAATTGTGAACACAACAGCACTGGATGCACACTGCATCTGGAGTTGAAATGCTCACACCAGTTAAGATGATGCCATTTCCCCAAAAGTTCCAAATGTTAAAGTAGAAAGATGTAAAAAAGGACAGACAAACGGCCTTAGGACAAAGCATTATCAAAAGAAAAATGTGTGAGAATAAGTGAAAAACACAACATTTTCAGTTTGAGGTGAAATTATACAAATCTCTTTAGCAATGTATACATGTAAATAAAAATACCTACCATTATATCGCTCTGTGCTGAAGGTTACAGGCCTATTTAAAAAAAAAAAAAAAGACCACCAGTTAAAAATTTACTTTACTTCTAAAACAGTTGTCTCAGACCCTGGCCCTGGGTTAAATTTTAATCAGCTGTGGTCCATGTCAAGCAGAAAACATTACGAGGACACTAGTATCCAAACCCACCGGCCAAAACCTAATTTGCGACACTGCGACACTGATCTCACGCAAAAACATAAAAATTATCTTTTTGTTTAAACTTTGGCAATAAAAGATTATTTTCATTTTCTAAGTGGATTTACTAGCAAGTCTATACTATTGTAACAGCAGCTGCATTTGCTTCTACAAAGTATTCATATCTACTAAATCCCTGCTGCTCAACATGCAGCCTGAAGGCTATATGCAGCCCTTTAGTACATTACAGCAGGTATGGACTTTGAGTCCCAGCAGTCTTTAGTTGGAGTGCAGCATTGATTTGCAAATCGTTATTTTCAGTGAATCAGTGATCAGTCTCAGGTAACATGCCCCCTGTCTCTCACTGCCTTCTGAAACGTGACTCCAGTCTGACAGTCCTCTCTAGCATTACATAAATTATGTGTGGCCCCATTGACAACCACAACTCTAAATTTTACTATTGTGTCAAATAAATTGGTTAAGATACAATGTAGTTTGCATTCAAAGCAAATATGTTGCCAAAATAAAAATGAATAAAAGGTCTCTGGGCAAAGACGACTGTTGCCTGCCTGGTCCCTCACACCAGCCCCTACAGGACACAGTAGTGGCGTTTGGCAGATTGAACCACTGAGCGCAGAGCGGGAACCAAAAAAAACTTAACATAATTAAAGAAAAAAAAAGAAAAAAGTACAGTATGATGATTTTCAAGCACACGCTTTAACACTCACCCTGTCAAAGGTGACAACGATTGCCTTGGAGCCTGTTCAGTCTTATAACCAAAGGACACAACTGCATATGGACACACATGTCGAGGTCTCTTGAGAATCTCATCAAAGCCATACTCATAGAAGTAATACTAAAGACAGGAAATGCACATTACAAAAACCACATTATGGAAGAAATCCAACTAGAACATCTGGACACTAAGATAAGAAATTGGAAGCTTTGGTTAACACCGACAGTCCTACCTTCTGGAGGGTGGCTACTTTTGTTCCCCATGGTCCCTGTGTTTGTTGTAAAGTAGCCACCGCTCCAAGCTCACTACTGTGATGGACTCCAATCTCATTTTTAGTTTACTCATTTGTATTGAGATTGTAGTCCATCAAGGGAGAGAGTTTGGAGTGGTGGTTATTTTACAACACACAGGGACCGTAGGGAACAAAAGTAGCCACCTTCCAAAAGGAAGGGCTGTGTCAGCACCAATTGAGATGATTTGAGGATCTGCAGCCGATTGATACACAAAGATACATTTTTGTTACTAGTTAAGGTACTTGAATGCATTTTTGAGATTTAACTCCAGAGTGTAATGTTATATTATAGAGATTTGTAGATTAAAGCAAAGTAAAAATCTGACAGAAAAAGCATGTAAAAGGGTTATAATACCATAACAAAAATTAAAGAAAAACATTGCAAAAAACTCAAAAGGGAATATTGTATTTTTGGTGAGTAAACATTTCAAAGTCAGCTCAAGCTTCTGTTTACTATAAAATAAGAACTGTCCATGCCAAGGGCTGTGCTGTATGTGCTCAATCTCAATTGCTGCACAGTTCTGCATCAAACCTGTGAGAAATTTCTAACATTTTTACATCAGGCAGTGTGCGAGAGGCAACAAGAAGGGTGTTCATTATGACCAGCAGCAGTGTTCCAGGATCACAGGAATATAAACAAAAAGGAGCGGGGTGAACAGGTACAGTACAACAATGTCTGGAAATAAGACTCAATCAAGGATGGTATGCTCCCTCTATGCATATAAACGTTAAAAAATCAGAACATACCATTAAACCATACTGGTAAAAAAATACCAATCCTACCTGAGTACGTTCAAATGCCCTGTAACTCAGGAGCGCATTAACTGCATTCATGTTCTTAAAGATGTGGCATTCGTGCTTAGGAACTGGATCCAAACTAACATTATTCCCAGAATATGCTTCCGGGTTATTTCTAAAGTTATCATACACAAATTTCATTTTCCCCTATAAAAAAACCAAAAGCAATTTAAAAAAGAACTTAACAAAAGCAACCAAGTACTATCATAAATCTTAGTAACTGAACAGTGAGCAAAATTCTTTAGGTTCAGGGGTGTGGAAATTTTGGAAAAAACTACTTGTCCAAGGACTAAAGCGGGGGCAGAATCTACTTGTCCCTCATGACAATCTACTTGTCCTGATACAAAAAAAATAATTTTAACCAAAACCGTATTTAGCAGTGCTAAGAAGCGCTTCTCATTGGTCAGTGCCGTCAGGTGACTGCGTTGACCAACGAGTGCTTGCAATTTGCGAGCGAAATTCAGACTACATGGAACAGGTACAGATAGTACACCCGTACTGGTGGACGGGAAGGACCGTTTGCTGAAAGGTAAGTATGGTGGGAGGGAGATTTGTGCTGGTAATTCAGTTTTCCCAAATTAATAGGGAAAATGAATTTACCCTTAAGGGTTGGTGCAGACTTGGGGATTCCCAGGACGTGTGATCGTGTGTGGTTGCATAAAGCGGTTGCATCCGCATATATGGGGTTAAATCTGCGTGGCAATCGCTGAAAAAAAGGTAGATGTACCTATTTTCACGACATGCACCGCGCAGTGTTTTCAACCGTGATCGCCCGCAGCGGTATTGCAGCGCTGAATGGCGGATCAGACGGGGGAGGGGGCGGGTACAGCTGGCTCTGCCTCTACATAGGCAAAGCCAGATGTCACTCACGCAGCTGGGTGGATCCAGACATAATTGTGGGGATCCGCTTCAGCTGCGGCGTCTCAGTATAACGCGAGCAGTAGCTCGCGGTCTACTGTGGCGTCTCAGTACAACGCAAGCTGTAGCTCGCGGTATACTTAGCTTAGGGTGACGGGAGGACGCTAGTTTGTGTCCTCCCGTTACCCTGAGAACTATGGGGAAAAGCCTTAACCCCATAGTTCTCCTTTAAAAGAATTATGTGGTAAGTGTTTTTCCCCATAGTTCTCTTAAGAGTCACAGTCACAGTCACCTCATAGTTTTCCTTTAACTAGAACCAATCCTACCCCCAAAAAGAAATACATTATAAAAAAATTTAAAATTTGCCACAAAATCTTTTTCTTGGAGTCCATTGAGGGACACATTATACTGATGGGTTATACTGCCAAACATAACTGTAGGCAAGTCTAAGTTGACCCCTCCAACTCACACAGAGGGGTTGGTTCTATGTCCCTCAATGGACTCCACGAAAAGGATTTTAAAGTGAGTGCAAAAATGGCATTTTCTTTCTCACCCATTGAGGGCCACAGGAAGTCCTAGAATGTCAGGACATCCAAAAGCAGTCCAAAAGGATATATAAAAAAAAAAAAAAAAAGAAGAAGAAGAACTGGGGACTGTCTGCAGCTTAAAGGTCTGCCTGAAATACCCAACGGCCAGAGCTGGCAGACAGGACACGATCATCCACCTGGTTAAACATGTGCAATAGCACAAAAGACATTTACAGATCTAGTGGAGTGTGCCTCGACAGAGAAACTTGCACACAAGGCAAGCATAGCATTGTGGGAAATGTAGTTTTCCACGCTCTACATTATAGCTCCAACTGTGCACAGCAGCCTGTAATTTACAGACTGCTTGCAGAGCACAGAAGCGGCCATTTCAAACAGAGCCATGAGAAGATGAAGAGGTCATCTAACAAAAAAGTAAGCTTCTGTGTTTATATACAGCAACTGCATATGCCTACTTTATGTACATGCAGTGTACATTACTAGCATTTTCTTTTTTATATATATGCCTCTGCAATGCCTCTGCAAGGGTGGAAATGGACTTTGAGCATGGTCTCGGAGGTCAAAACCGCATTTAACCAATATAACTGCATATTTTAGATGCCTTAAAAAGTATTTTACCTTGATAACTTTAAATACGAAAACGGTGCCTGTTGTACTGGCATCTAAAGGGTTGGCCTGCAATAAGTCAGCATACTTTGACAAGTACACCCCTGCAGGGAAGACAGCATAAATAAACAAAAAAATCCAATAGAAGAATGTGAAATTTTGCAACGCTACAAAAAATGTTTACATCTTATGAAATGCTGCAGACATTGATGTTACACAACAGCACAAGCTAACTGTGGTCGGAAAGAGTGAGCGTGTTTTTATGTGCATCGAGATGTATCCAATTCTCTAACAAACCACATGAAAGATGTTCCCTTTTTTTTTTTACACAATCTAAACGAATGTGCCATGCTAATCATGTAATAATAATGTGTACAACAGTGACACAGGTAAAGGGAAGGGTGGAACACAGTTCATAAGCTGTAAACTTTATCGAGTATCCATTTAACAGGTTGCACTTAGACCATTTTCCCCTTATATATAGCACTCTGCACATAAACCTGCTTATTTGTATTACAATAATAGGATAGATTTATGTTATTTCCTTTAAGCAAGACACATCCCAGACTAATCTATTTCTTCAGGAAGAAAAAGCCTAAATGGTGTGGTGGGGCTTGATTTAAATTTACTATTTTAATGTTTATAAATTCACCCAGCCCCGCCAATACACACAATTGTGCCCCCCTCCTTCTGTACGTACCTCCTCCAACAGCTGTGGCCTCTCTGCACTGTCTGCAGCCCGAAGGGATAAAATCTTGCAGCATCTACACACTATCATCATATAGGACTTGAACAGGACATTGCTCCCGCTGTATGAGTATTTCCCATTTAAGTCCACTGGATGTTAGTACTCAGATGCAAAGAAGACTGCAGGCGAGCACAGATAGGGGACGACGACGACGACACATGAATGTAGTTGTGTATTGACGCGGCACGGGAAGAGGCTAGGGGGGATTTTTTTTTGTTTTTAAAGGCGAACATGTTCTTCAAAGTTTACCAGTTGCAACTTCAAAGTATCTAAAGCCATAAAAAAAATTTCCTTGGAGAAGAGGGTTAGCAGCCCTGTCAAATTGTTATTACTGTGTGTCTCCACTAAGCAGATTGACCATTTGCCCTGGTGACCATTGCCAGGACTGAGTGATGGGAAAATGCAAAAATGGTCACCAGAAAAGGAATAGAGGGGAAATCTTCAAATGGGCACACTTGTTGCAGTGACAATGGTCACGGAGGATTTTCCTCACTTTAAAGATTTATTCCAGCTTGCTTTTGTGTCTACGACAGAATGGGAAAACCTAGAATGGATTTGAACCCCATTTAGAAAAAGTTTCTTGCTATAGATATAACATGAGTAAACTAGCCCCAGGAGTTTTTATCAGGCACCTACACTTAATCATGCACAGCCTTATTTTATTTACAGACTGTTCAGGGAGCCCCAAACTCTGAACACTCCAATATGCACATTCTAAGCACAACCTTAATGGATAAACTCTAGCACATCCCTCTACTGGCCAGTAAGTGTGATCTCAATGGTAAATGAAGTATAAAGCTTTCTTTTCCATTCTTATGCCACTTTGTGCCTGCTCATCTTCTTACAGTTTCACTTTAAGGAAAAATGTCAGGAAGTTATTAAAATTTTGGATGGAGGAAGGGGCCAAGACTAATCAAATGTCAGAATTGTATTATTGCTTGTTCCCAGACAATGGGGATTCCCCTCACTTCTGTGAATAAATAACTCCCTAAAGGGATCAAAATTCAGATACAAATATGGCAGAAGTACCATCCTAGCCTCACTTTATAAAAACATATTGCTGAAAGGGGGCTTTGAAGTACAATTCAATTTTTAAGTCTTGATGGCGACTTCCCTAAATTCAGATCAGAGGAACAATATTTGGGTTCAATTATGGTGATGTACACTTCTGAAGACTAGAATTTAAAACACCTACCTATTCCATTTGTAATAAGAACAGGTTTACCCAAAGTAAGGAGGAACCTGTAAAGTCTGGTCATTTATTCTAGCCTCTTTCAGCTTTGCACTAGGGTAGCCCATGGGGCCCTGACAGCTCGATCCCTCAGAGAATAAACAGTCAAAAGGAGGCCCGAGTCCATGCTGCTTGCCTTTAAGCTTAGTCCCGACTGGAAAACCTCAAACCCCAGGTAAAGTAGAATGCGCCTCTAGGTGTTATGACTTGCAAAAACAAATAGTGGGGAATTTATCAAAGCAATTGCGACAGTTTTCGCCTCTTAGATCATTTCTTTTTATATGCAAATCTGTCTTAACGTGTACCCCCGTTTTCACCTGAGCTTGCACTACTTTTCCAACTGCACGTGTTTTGACTAGAGCTTGCACTACTTTTTCAATTGCGTGTCGTTTTTGCACCTGTTTTCATCTGCACTTGTTCTGGGACTGTATTGAACTGGAGCTTCACCTAACCAAACAATCACAACTTAAGAAGTCCCCATGACCATTTCAAGAAGCGACAGTTAAGCTTTTTGCCTGAAGTTACAAGTCTTCTTTCCTGGAGTCTATTAAACCTCAATTATCAACAACATTACACTGGCATCATAAATCTGGTGCAAATATATTCCGTGCAAACACTCGCAATTGCTATGATAAATTCCCCCCAATTGTCTTTACTTTGAAGTAGAATGAACCTTTTAAAAGCATTTTTAGGAAAACCTAGGTCCCTTTTCCACAATGATTGATATACTGTAGCATCTATTAATGTTAATGAAAAACTCACCCATAGAAGGTTTTCCAAGTGTAGATAGCTTTGAATGTCCCACAAGCAATCCTTTCTCGCATATATTATTCATCTACCGGATAGAGAGACATTCAGTCACTATAGTAAGCACTTCAGTTTCCACAGCACTAATATTAGTTTCCTACAGATATTAACTGAACTTAAAACATATGTTCCAATGTCTTTTCCAATAAACAAATGCCTTAGTTTTACTGGTTCTTGGACAGTTTCCACTGCATTGTCACTCCGCTTCTGCCAGGTTTCAGTTATTGAAAAAGGGATTTTCCACAATTCGGTCACACCAGAAACCAGGGCTTGCCCAGCCAAAATGAATGGCAAAAGGACCTTCATATTACTACAGGAACAATACAGGTTAGTAGTAACCTCCTAGATGTTGCTACGGAGTACTCATCTAAAAACATTCATTTTCTGGGGTAACCAGTCTATTCTTTTTCAGCATATGGGACAAAAAGCTACAACTCTAGGCTCTCTCAACAAAACAAGAGCTGAGGAGCAAGTCTTTACCAACCTCAGATACTGCGGATTCTGGTTCATACCTGGCCTGCATGTCCACACACATATATATATATAAGACTATGCATAAGCAGGTCATGTATGACTCCTGGGTCTGGGGTTTTATACAAAGTTGTTTCAAGTCTTTGCTGTGTTGGCAGCTTGGAGATACCAGGCAACTGTATGCATTTTACATGCATGTACTTTCAAAGTGCTTTTTAGCTTTAAAAGGTCATTACCAAAAAAATGTAATCTGATAACGGATAAATAACATTTAACCCCTTAATGACCAATGCCTTTTTTTTTGCACCCATGTTATAATCCACATTTTTGGCCGGAAAGTTACTTGAAACCCCCAAACATTATATTTTCTGAAAGCCCAGACCCTGTAGAATAAAATGGCGGCAGCTACAAAGTTTTATGTTTGTGCGATATTAGCGCAGCTTATCAAACCCACATTTAAATGACAATGACAGCTATGGGACCGGAAGTGGTCATCTGCATTGCTCCCGGTCCCATAGAACGTAGAGATCGGTGCACGGACGTTCACCGCTCTCCTCCCCAGCTTCCTGCCGACACCCTAGATGCCGGTCCTGGGCCAGCAGGAGGGGCAGCGGAGGCCCCGCAGGGGGTGGCTAGTTTACCGGCCCGTACAATCGATCTGGCGACAGCTGAGTCGCCAGAATCGCTTCGATTGTAAAGCCGGCTCTACAAGAGTCCAGCCGGGAGTCTGTTTAAACGGGCTCACTGCCAGTGACATACTATGTACGTAACTGGTCGCGAAGGGGTTGATGATGGTATTGGAATATCTGAATGCCCTAATCTTTAAATTGCCTCAATTTATAGAATATACAGTGCTTTAACCCTTTCACTGCCAAGCCCTGCCCTCCACATTTAATCCTGACAGGACCATTTTTGCTATTTTTCACTAAATGATGTAGCACGATTTTCTACTTAAAGCATTGACAGGTAACACCCCCCTCTCAAACCATACATTTTCTAAATGAACAAGACCCCAGGAATAAAAAGATGGTGCTGCTGATTTTGTGCATCTCGTGATAATTGTGCAAATTTTTGTGAAAACACTAAAATCATGAATGCACACAAATATAACTTACAAAATACCGAATTAGAATGTAAAACTGTATTGAGTTAACAAGTTGGTAAGTTTTAAATTGGCATTTTTGTGAAACTGATAAATCGAACAAGTGCAAAACTAAATGCAAAACCAGGCTAAAAATTTGGAGGCTGGCTTTACACCTATGCGGTTTGGTAATGCCCTATTCGCAGTGCCATGTGTGCACTGGATTGTTGTGTTGTGTTAAAATGATCCAGGCATCCATTTTTATCACAAGTGGCAATGTGTTGCAACGTGCTGCCGCACAGTTGAATAAATGTAATTTAATCTTTAAAAAAGAAAAAAAAACACCATCATGCATTGTAATAATGCAGTGCACAATGCTTGCACATTAAGCAGAAGGTCTGCCCAGTGGTGGGTATGAGCATTTAGTGTGGTGATGAACCACAGTGCACCAAAAACACAAAATGTGCATTATCACAAGGCGTGTAGTTCACGTGTGTTGTGTGTAAGGGCCCAGATCTATTACTTTTGAGAAAGATTGGCTCCTCCCTCTTCTCTGCAGCCCCGTACTCACTACCACTGAACCCCGAAGTGCCAAGTCCAGAGCACTGAAGAGATAGTAAAAATGAATGGCACGTTTACTGTCTCTTCAGTTATGAACATCTGAGCGCTCAGTATAAAATCAGTTCATTCAGGAAAGTGAATAGGTAAATATGAGAGACATTTACCAGACCCCCACTTGCCATTCTGAACAGATTAGATCCTCCCCTCTATACACAGCGGTATGCTCCATTCTGTGTCCACTCCACAACCTGTCTCTGCCAGTACAGGGAAGAGGAGAGCATCAGAGGGCATGCAGGAAACAGTGGGCAGGACATGGAAGGGTGTTGACTGCCGGGTCAGAGTGGGGATGATAGTGAGAGGCAGGCACTCAGATTTTTAATGAATGGCTGTGATCAGCAGTTTCTCCACCACTGATCACGGCTATTAATTAGTAAGCGTTTAGAAGATCCTTTTGTTATAAGTTTATGGTTACGCAAGTGACCATGAGCTTATAGCAGAAGAGAATGCAGCTGACTTGATGAGCTGGCCAGCTACAAGCAGTTCTATTTCGGCATAAGCCTCATGTCTGTGGCAGTGAAAGAGTTAAAGCTACCCCCGATTCTGCTCCTGGCAGTTTTAGTATTTTTGTCAAACCATTTGTTACAACAGATTTGTTTTCCAGGGACATAAAACCAGCACTTGCATGATTTGCATCTTTCCAATCAAATCGACATGCCTACCAAGACAATATTGTTTGAATACGGTTTTTATAGGTCAGTGTGGTTCACCACAGCCTGTAATATTTTAATGTGGCTTGAGAACTGACAGAAGTTGAAGACCTGTGTTTCGCTATTTGGTAATAACTGCGTGGCTTTACATTATTTGCCTACATGACAGAAACAGAATGAGTACATGATATTAAAATGGTTTCTGGTTACTATTTAAATATCCAGCCTTGTAAAGTAATCTACGTAGACGTCCAATATGAAGCTGCCGTAGACCCATTTTAAAAACAAAAATCTGAACTTTAAATGAACAGAAATTTCCTTAACAGATGTGTTTACTTTCTTACCTGTATTGGTAGGTGCGTTGAGCAGGGAGTTTAAAAGTGCAAATACTGGTGGACAACAAAACTATTTTATTATTTCTAAAGTTAAGCATTTTTACTAGGAGGTGCGCTGAAATGACATTTTTTAAAACCCCCAAAAAAATGTTCTAACCTTTTTTAAAAGAATTGATATTTTATTTATTTAAAAAATTTATATATTTTTTTACTTTACTGTCAGGGGCTTTGGTGAAATATCTGAGGTCTAAACAGATCCCTGATATTTCCCTTTTGAAAATGAAAAAGATTGGGAGGGCAGGGTTCACAATCTCGTTTTCTGCATCCCGTTATAAATGAACTTTCTGTAGCCTCTATACTGAATGTTCCTGTTCATTCATGAAACTTGTGGATAGTATGTTTACTATATCCACAATCATGAATGAACAGGAAGTGATGTAGATCACTTCCCATTCATTCATAATTTGGGACACAGTAAACATACTCTGTCCTCTATTTACAAGCAGTCAGCGATCATTGACTGCTTGTACCTGCTCTCCATCCTGACTCGCTGTGACAGGAGGGTGATCGAGCGGTGCAGGGAGGAGAGCTCGATCTCCTCGACAGCTGACTCCTCCCCCCACACCACCGGCCTAGCCTCCTGTGAAAGCTGACTCTACCCCCACACTGCTCTCCCGATCTGTCACAGGAGGCGGGTCGGGAGGAGAGCTCAGGCTCGTGACACTCCAGCAGCTCACAGAGCTCTGCTCCCCCGCGCTGCTTAGCCTTCTGTGACAGTTTCACTCCTCCCTGCGGGATGCTGTGCTATGTCAGAGGGGACACGGAGCAGCGCCCAGCAGACAGGAGGGAAACTAGGCATGCACCGCAATTTCAGCCAAAAGTGCCATTTTCCGCCAATATGTTTGAGGCGGAAATTTCGGTGCATCCCTACTTTACACTGCTATTCTGGTGCAGACATCGTTTGATAAATCTGTAGTGATGATCCTGAATTAATAGTTACCGTATTTTGCGGTCCATAAGACGCACCGGACCATAGGACGCAGGGAGGTCCGGCGCGCCTTATGAAGCACTTGAGACTGTAGCTTCTGTGACAGCTTCTATGACAGAAGCTGCAGTTAGTGACCGCTGAGACAGGTGGCGCTGTGATTACAGCGCCACGGTCTCAGTGATGACACAGAGCAGGCGAAGAACGTCTATTCTTAGTCTGCTCTATGGTTATCTCGATCGTTGCCCCTTTTTGGGGGGGGGGGGGGGAGTGCGTATTATGGAGCGAAAAATACGGTACATTACCGATAAAGGATCCCTTGTAAACAAGTAAATTTTGCTACAGATCGAATAATGTAGCGCTCTTCATTATCCAGGGAAAGAGGAAAAAAAACACAAGACAGGTAGCCAATCCCTCTAAATTACACAATGGCACCCAGACCTTTTCTGGGGTTACCAGGGAAAACAGTCTTCTTGCTTTATAACACACTGGCTCTTATGAGATTTTTGCAGATTTTTCAAGCATAATCTTTTTTTGGGGCAACTGTTAAAAAGCTGGCAGTCAGGACTGGAGACACCAAATATGAAGTAAAAATGTGGGGTAAATCTGATCATGGTGTGCTTGGTACTGTTTACATCTGCACAGTGCTGGAATTGAGCCAACAGGAAATTTGAGAAGTTGCAAACTAAGCTTCTGATCACAGGACAGAGTTACAATGTGGAAGGCAAAGGCAAGAAGAAGCTAAACAATATGAGAGGAAAGAACTGCTGAATAAGCTTTGGTGTCAAGAGCATCATCTGTCATTGTTTGTAATCTGAACAGACGCAGAATGCAAACTACAAAATGTATGGCAGTGACATGGAAGAGCATTTACCAGACAGGCCTTCTAAAAAACTGTCCTTCCTCTGTGAAGTTCCCCTTCACGCCTGTCCAGTACTACATGCATGTTAACGTGTGTTCTTTTGAATGGCATGCAAATGAACAAAAATAAAAAACAGGAGCATTTTTCCAACACCACAATGCAGATGTTTCCACCTGTGTGTTTGTGCATGTTTAGCTACGGTTGTAAGGTGCTATTCAAAATGAATGTGGATCACGCATTGTCGTGATGTGGTTTAAACGCATGTTACAACACACAGATGCGTTTCCAGCCTAACAAAATGAAAGGCATAATATAGCCTTCAGAGGCTATACACACACACATTTCAGTGTATTATGCCTATAATTTTTGTAGGGGCTAATGGGTAATAAAGGTGAAAAGCTTAACCATTTTTATTCAAATTCTTATTTTCCGAGGGGGAAAAAAAGGCAGAGGCCAAAACGCAAACATCCAACCACTGTTGAATAAACTGATATGCCATTTTGTTCCCAGAGCAAAAAGGTAGTACAAGAAAATGAAGGTGCAATTGTATGAAAAGCCTCAGTGGCAGAACATGAGGGAATACTAGTGTCAGGTTATGATTTTAAACTCTTCCAAATCACAGGTCAGTTCTGATCACAGTTCTGGGTTGTGCAGCCTGTATTTGTGCAAACTGAGATACTTAGGAAGTGTTTTAAAACTGTTAAAGCTTAATTTTTATAAATAGGAGGCCCATACTTGTAAAAAGCCTTTGTTGTTTTAATTAAAAATGTTTAGTTTGTTGTTCGCTAGTGGGTCCCCGCATAGCTCTTTCCCCCACCACCCCCTGTATGGGTGGCGCCATCAGCTAAGCAGCTGCTATGGACACACCCGTGCATGCTCGTTCCCACAAGTGGCTGTGCCCATAGAGACACAGCCCTGTGGCAGGCCACGCCCTTCTCCACACAACAGGTTGATTGACGCCAGAAGGAGCCTCCCAGGAAGTTTGGGACGGAGGATCACTTCGGGGAACCGGCGGCAGTGACAAGCGGCGCTGACAGGTGAGTGGGGGGCAGAAAAGTACTGTGCGGTTTTTACCCTTATGCAGAGAATACATTAAAAGGTTAAAAAAAACACCCTGCCTTTGGTAAAACCGTCTACTCCAAGGCCATTAGTCTTGATTTTGAATTCTTAGATGGCTGTTCTACTGTCCCGTTACGTTTTCATCCAATATTAAAGCCATTAATAAGTATTCACTGGGAAACCCCATACCATTCCTCATGCTGTAAATTTCTGACACTGGAGCATTGTTGCTCAGGCCCAGTTCAAAAGCAGACTACTGCATACATGCAGAAGAAAAACCCGTAGCAAATTTATGTACCGCGCATTTCCTTCAAAAGGGTCAATAAAAAGAATTTGCTCTTTAAATGAAAAAAAAAAAAAGGACGCACTTCAGAAAAACCCTAATTTCACCCCAACTTCATTGTATGTTTGTTCCAGTGTGTTTATGAGAAAACTGTGAAAGAAAACAATGAATCCATTAAGTTGTGGGCACTTGCTGCCATTGTTTTACATATGCCACAATGTTCCCCCCCAAAATGTAGGTATGCAATTTCCCTACGCTGCTTTGTTTGGAGAAATTATTTTCTTGGATTGTGCAAAATCTTCATGGACAGAAGATTCAACTTCATGTTCCTCTTACCTGGCTTTCATCAACCAAAAGAAAACCATAAGATTCAGCAAGCTCTTTATCTAGCCGACCTTCATATTTCAACTGTCTTCTTTTTTCAGTAAACTATTAGGGAGGGGGAAAATGTAGAATTGGGGAAAGGGAAAAGAAAAAAAAAAAAAGTCAATTTAGGAGCAAAGTGGTGAAAATGTGTTTTCTTTTCACAGTCCCTAAACTAAATATCACAAACTTACAGAAAAAAAAATTCACAAGTTGTTTACACTTGTGCCAGAAAAGATGAATCCAACATTTGACCTTTACACTGAACTTAACTATGGCTTCAAATCACTGCTAGACAGCATTGTTTTTGGGGACATTTGTACAAATAAGCACTGTGTCTTACAACTATCAAAAGATTCAGAAAAATCTGAAAAAATATAAAAGCAAATTGGCCCCACTCTTGACCGATTCAACTATTCAGTCCCGCAAGCCTACAGTCCAAACTTGATCAATCTAAAAGATGATCAATTTATGTTCACTGACCTCTTTCTCCAAGAATTCATTGTGAACCAGTTGGGCAGATTTGTAAGTGAAATGCATTTTAGAATTTGCGTCCAAGAATGAGGCATGTAGAATTTTCAAAAGCTCCTCAAATTCCCGCGAATCAGAACTAAGTGGTTGAAGAGCTAAAATGTGAACAAAAAGAAAACAAAAAAAAAAGTGTTACTGTAATGAAGTTTTAAACTCATTCGCGCAAATTAATTCATTTCAGATCCACACAAGAACAAAAAAACAAAAAAGTGTAAGATTTTATTTAATATTTATTTAGGTTAAATGTGTTTACAAAGTATACACCTTGCAGAACAAAAAGGAGTCCAGTCAACTGGTATTTACCAAAACCACAACAATAATTTTCTTGCCAACACATACTACCTTCCTATAATACCAGCTTACATACCATTAGAACATACTGGCTGCATAAATGTAAAATGCTGCTCAATTGACTACATGAAGGCTGGAGACAGTTGCTATGATGAAGATACATTACAAAGATCCATCGACTAGTGTAGACTGGAATTTGGTTAAAAATTGGAGCAAATCTATAGCAAATGAAGTCTCATTTGAAGGCCCAAAATGGAACAGCTCCTCAAGCTTATTGCCAGAAAACTTTCAACATTCAGTTACTTCTTTATGAGAGGTCAACAGTTGGCCTGCCAAAGTGGTGAAGAGTACAAGTTTCTGCTCAAAACAGCTTTGTGAAGGCTCATTTTTTGCAGCTCATGATATAGTTAGTATTCATTGGTCACATCCAACTGGACTTCTCTAGTTACAATTCTCTAGGCTTCACCCTAAATTTTAATTGATGATATTCCTAAGGTAGCTTGGGGGTACATGTCCCACCATGACCACTAATTCTACATTGGTTTCCTACAGAATGCAGAGACGCTGAATGAGTGTGGTAGGGGCATTAGCTTTAGAGTTCCTTCAGAAGACAGTGATATAATGGCACTACTTGAGATGTATAAGCCCTCACAGGCAGGGCCCTCCTTACCATCTTGTCTTGAATTGTAATGTCTTCCTTGTATTGTAAAGTGCTGCACAAACTGTTGGCATTATATAAACTATGTATATTAATAATAATGATGTATAGGGGGTTGGCACTAAACGTATGTTTTATACTCCATGCCCTGCTGTCTCACTGCTTCCCTAGGACAGTCACAGCTGTTAGGTTTCATATATGAAGCCTATCTGAGCCATATGGTCAACATGCCATGCTGCTTTAAGATACTCTCTGAAGACTAAAGCAAGAAGGGGACACCTTTGCATTACTCAAACTGAGAAACCAATGGAGTATTAATTAAAAGGTCACAATAGAAAATGTAGCAAGAGTATAAACGTGAAATTCAGTTTCTAAACGACCAATAAAGCCGTTTGTTATTGGCACACTGCAATCATGATCTGCCATATAGTGCCAAATGGAAGAGTTGTATGTTTTTACATACTAGTTGTTGGGTCAAAGTGCTGATAATATAGAGCGATTCTTCATTTTGTTGGAACACATGTGCCATGGAACAAGAAAAAAAAAATCTGCCAACCTTTGGGTTAACCAGTCTCAGTGCAAATTGTTGCCCATACATCCGTCCTACAAGCTCTGAAAACTAGATTTCTACCTACATTATTCCAGGGAAAAGATTCCAATTTATCGGTATACACTGTTGAAGTTATTTTATAGACAAGGAACATTACTCCAAAACCAGAGCTTGGGTTCCTTGTAGCAGGATGGTAGACTCTGTGCTTAGTGTGAAGAAAGGAGAAAAGGCCATTATGCGATGACTGAATGCACTACACAGGTCTTTGTGTAACAAACATCATTCAGCTTATATAGTGATGCTCTAAATCACTATTCTAAATTGTATGTGTAATTAAGAAAAACAAATCTGAAAAGATATGCATAAGGTTGAAGGCATTATTTTGGGAGAAACGAAGGCAACTGAATGTACATTCCCATGACACCTTTGGTTTCCCTACAGAATCTTGGAAGGCCTATCATATTTCACTGTTTGACTTAGGTTTCTTTATTTACTGCTAATGACACAGCTCTCACCACACTAATGGAACTACAATGAGATTTGTAATTAAAAATTTGCTATACTGTAGGGGCACACACTTAATGACGTTTCCCAAAAGGCCCACAGTGGTGTAATTGATGAAAGGCTCCAACCACCAATATCTATTATGGAAACACCAACAGTGCCCACTTAACCTGGAACATATGGCAGCTATATGTTGAAATACTGAGGTCACTTATATTTCCAAATAAATGATCTACACCAGAGGTAGGCAAACTCCAGCTGCAGTGAAACCACAAATCCCGTTGTGCATTGGCCTCTGGAAGGACATGCTTGGAGCTGTCGAGGTTCTTGCAATGCCTAATGGGATATGCAGCTGCACCACAGCTGGAGGACCAGTTTGCTCACTCCTGATCTACATTCTAGTGTGGTACAGAATCACTATTCTAGATTTGTCACTTGGGCAATTTATCATACAGCGCACTCATTGCCCACGATCATCCCAGGACTAGCGCTCCCTATATATGAAGCAGTGACCACAGACATTTGGAGTACTGTTATTTGATACAACAGATTATGCTCCATTTCTAGCTATGTGTAACAATCACTAGCAATTGGGAGGAGGGTGATGACTGCTACAGAAATCAACCCCGCCTAATACAAATCTAAATCATGGCAATGGGTTTATGAAGTACTGTTATGAGTCCCTAATATATAAATGCAGAAGGTTCTTGTAAGAACAATAGTGGGAAGACTGCACCATCATATAGATATATATTGGAGACAAGACTACAAGGTAAGCTCCAGCATGCAAAGTGACACAAGACTAAAGCTGGCCATATTCTGCTTCGTCAGTCAAAATTCAACTCATGGGTGGCTTGTCGCCTCCACAAAAGTTGATCAATAAATCAACTGAACTAAATGAAAAATTGTCAGCCATACCACAAAATGGCTGCATCCTCTAAGACACTGTGGTTGTTTCGAGATTCATACAGCTGGTCATGTGACTTGATGAATACAATAGCCAGCAGGAGGGATGCCTCCATCCAGAATGTATTTCTCTTTCAGCAGAAATCTAAAAGGTATATATCTAGCTTAACCTTCAGCAAGGTGTCTGCATAGACTGTACAGGGACTGTACAGTCCCAAAGTTAAAAAAATAAATGCAAGGCTGACTTTTCTTCCTTTAAATGTAAATGCTTTCTCCTGGACTAAAGAAAATCCATTGTGCGATCAGATCATAGAGGAAGCCATCACAATAGCTCTCCATACTTTGTCCAGTCCCCAACTCCAAAAAAGGTCCCTATGCATGGTAGAGGAGTACAGCCTCGCCAAGCAAATGGGAAGGGGTGGAAATGATTGATGGGCCGCCCTGACCAGAGTGAACGCGGGGGCGGAGCACGTGAGCTCCACCCACATGCTTTCCGAGCCGCCCCGCCAATATCAGCTTGCTGGGAGCCGAAATCCGCGGTACGGCAGTGACGTCACCGGCCGCCCTACTAAAAACAAATTGCACCCCGAATGATGCAACGTTACGCCATGTGCTCAGGCGGGCCCCTAGTGGTCTTCCCTTGCCCCCTCGTGTGATTTAATCATTACACCACGAGTGTGCAGCGGGCGGCATGCAAAGGGAAGACATCGCTCTATAGAATGTATTGGAAGATGACCACCACCTTTCTTGGTCTTCCTTGGGATCTGAAAGCGCTTCCTGGGGGGCTCTTCGGGAGATGGAGCCCCCTTGCCGCCGCCCTCTATTTTAGCGGGCTCGCTGCTCGTGCTGCTGTGGCGGCGCCTGAAGCCCGCTCTCCTGGCGTCCACCTCCTCGCCTTGTGCTTGTTCGCCATTTTGTGCAGCTGCCACCGCGCTGTGCGTCCTTGTGTCTTCAGCTGCTGCTTTCGGACTCTCCCCGCCGTCCCTCGCAGCGCTGGGCTTCTCTTCCTCCATAGCTGGGCTGCTTCGTTCTTGCAGCCGCCGGTCTTTTTTTTTTTTATCTTCAGTCACGTCGTGTGTCCTTTGCTGTGTCGTGCTCTAGTCACAGACAACCAGAGCCGCCAATCTTCTCCCTAATATTAGCCGAAGAGCAGGCGCCACATCCACCACGTCTCCTCTCACGGCGCCATCTCGCAGCTCTCTCCTCGCGCGCCCCCCTCTCCCTTGTATTTCTCTTCTCTCCCTCCCCTCACAGCCCGAGAGACGTCACACATGGGCGGTTCCGCACCCGCGATAGCCAATGAGCGCCCGGAGCAGGGCGTGTCCTTGCTCGCTAGCTAGCGGGGGGGAGACTCCTGTCAGAGAACGGCCGCCATTTTGTAAAGAGATGAGGTAGTCAGGAGTGTGGTGTGGGCTGCAGGCTCGTCGTTAAAATATATCATTTGTTCCATTTATTATTGCCAAGAATGGTTTATTCCGTTTAGCCTGATGTGTACAATGTGTTTATTTGGTCGTTGGAGTTTCAGATGCTGCAAAGATGATTCTATGAAGCATTTGTGAGACGTAAGTGGTGGTGTGCATGTAATTGGAAAACCAGAATGAGATTTGTGTGACGTTTTCATTGTTCTGCTGGGTTTGACAAACTCAAGCAGTTCAGGCAGCAAATTTAGTATCTGTTTCTAATGCTGCTCTATAAAAATTCATAAAGTAACGCCACCTTGTTGGTGATATGGATAGTGGAGGACAATACGTCTCTTCCATGTTGGAGTAAATTGTGAGGCGGCTTCATACACACTCGCCTGATGCCAGTGGTGTAACAATCACCATAGCGACCCAGGCGGCCGCTATGGGCCCGGGCCAGGACATCCCCCAGATGCCGTGCGGGTCGCTATGGCATTTCAGGCTGTGAGGAGAAACACGCAGCCATTCACATGTGCAGTGGCCCGTACCTCCTCACAGCTGCTGAGTCGATGACAACCAGCAGCTTCGGGGGAGGTGGCTGGGCCAGTCATTGGCAGCGATGGAGGAGGCAGGGCTCAGCGATCGAGGAGGCAGGTTTTTACGGACAGAGGATCGGCCAGACAGGTAAGAGGGCTTGACCGCCCACCTGAGACCCTGCAGAGCTCACCATAGAGCGTCTATGGTGGGCTCTGCAGGGTCACCCTCAGGTGGGCTGTTTTGGTTATCAGGTGGACTTATCTAGAAATCACAGGACCCCATACAAGATTTTGCTATGGGGCCCTGTAATTTCTAGTTACGCCCCTGTCTGACGCATACATGAATTAGGCTCTATTCACAAATAGTGTTTGCGTTTTTCACACAGCATGAAAATGCACAAATTTTAACATACGATTCTGCACATTTACAGCTATTACTATAGTCAAAATGCGTGGAATCCGCCCAGAATGTCACGCTCAGACCTTTTTGCGTGTTGTGCGTTTTCGTGTGTGAATGTTCCAAGTGTGAACATGATATATTGTAATGTATTTTTTTGTTTGTTTAACGCTTACCTGTGGAAAACCACTAATGTGTGACCGGAGCCTTAGTCAGAGGTTCCGCCATTTGTCCCATGACTGTGAGTATCTACGTCACTCTGTGAATATCTGTAATTGTTCAGTTGTCGTGCTTCAATGCGATTTAGACGATTGGCGGTTTCAATGTACTTGAAAGCCTTTCCTCAAATTCCTAAATACTCAGCGACCGTTCCATCCTTAGGCCTTGTTCACACCGAGCGTTTTGTAGCGCTTTGTCTGCCCTAAAACTGCTCAAAAAACATCCCATTCATTTCTATGTGCCTGTTCACATCTGGGCGTTTTGTGGCAATAAGCACAATGGCTGTCTCTGGAAAAAGTACATGAGATTTATTTTTTTGTCATATTACAGCTCGTTTTATGTCAATAGGAAACACTTGAAAACAGGCGTTTGCTATGTTTTTGCACGTTTTATGTGCGTTTGCTCATTGAGGTCAATGAGCTACAATCTACTTACAAAAACGTACAAATTTGCTTTATGCGCATTAAGACCCCATTCACACTGAGCGACATGCAAATCGCGCGACTTTGAGCGGCATCGAGCGACATCTTCCTATTGGGCTGTATGCAATCAGGAGCAATATCGCTCAAAATCGCTCTAAAAAAGGGTCATGTAGAAGCGACAAGCTACCAGCGACGAGCTACAAGCGATATTGAGCGACGAGATGTGAACAGCTACATTGAAATGTATTGGTGAAGCTACATAGAGCGATATAGTGCGGAAATATGAGCGATATCGCTGCAAAAATCACGCGATAAATCGCTCAATGTGAACGGGGCCTTAAACACTGTCGCCTAGGTGTGAACCCAACCTTAATGCCAACACGTGCAGCAAATTTAAGTAGTTCTTATTTGCGACACTTTTACTGTATGACGCTATTGTGACAAATTCATAAAGCAATATTAGTGATCAGGAAAGTGGAGGCGTGTTGGACTAAATGATTGTGACGTATCTTTGAGACGATTCTGCGACAACATTTGCCGTTGGGTTCCTCTAGGAAGTCGTATTAAAGCATTGCCTGGTATGTGGTTTGCAGTGATTACCAGGCCGTGCTGGTAGGAGCGTTAATGTTTTTAACTGGTTGCTAAATTTAAACTTGTTCACACTGGAAGTGAGGTGATTAAGAGGGGACATGATTTTGTTGTAGAAAATGTGTAGTGGTGATAGCAACATCAGCAATAAACTTTTTACTGTAAACTCAGTAACAAGGACTAGAGGCCACCTAAAATTGGTGGAGAAAAGATTTGACCACCAAGGGCGTAGGGGATTCTTTTCAGTTAGAGCGGTTAAATGTTAGAACTCTCTGCCAAAAGCAGTGGCATCAGCAGAAAGTATTGAGTCATTCAAAAATCAATTAGATACCTTCCTCAGAGCCCGTAACATACAGGAGTACGGGTACCCTTAAATACTAGACCACACAGGGACTCTTACACACACACAAAGGTTGAACTTGATGGACCTGTGTCTTTTTTCAACCTCAAATACTATGTAACTGGTTTTTTTTTCTAGTATACAAATTTAGCATTTCCTATAAGTTTATTTTATATACCGCTTTGTAAATTCAGTTAATATATTTTAGAGGAGTTTAAGTTCTGAGAGTTATTAGGTATGTTTTTTAACAATAGTGTGAATACCTATCCCTCAAATGTGGTGGTTTACATATGTGATGTTGGAAAATGTTGTGTTGCTCTATTGTGCATAAAAGACTAAATGTATATTTTAATACATCTTTAAAATATAGCTATTATTTCTGTAGCGTTGCATTGTGTGAACTAAGAGTTAATGATTGCATTGGTCTTTTTTAACCCCTTCGTGACGGGAGACGTACACTGTACGTCCAGCCACAAAGGGACCAAATGACTTGTCACGTACACTGTACGTGACGAGTTATTTGCTGCTTTAGAGGGCTGTTAATCGCTGAGAATCAGCTTTTAACATTCATTAATGGATGCCCTTACTACATAGGCATTCATTAATGAAAGGGTTAACCTTTTTCAGACACCCGATACCTTAATATCGGGTGTCTGAGAGTCAAAGCAAAGCGGACACAGATGCCGGCTTTTGCCGGCATTCTGACAGCTCGTATAGATCGAGAGATATCTCTCTCAAGCTATACTGGCTTTTTTTTTTTTCTTTCATGAATAGATACAAAATGTGTCTATTCCTACAATGTATCTATTCCTGGAAGAAGAATGTTTGTTTGCTGATCGTTGTTGCAACAATCAGAAAACATTTAGTAACAGCTGAATCCTGAACTGCTGCAGGATCAGTGTCACTAACTTATTATCGGCTGTTCTGAAGTTTGAAGCAGCCTGATAATAACCAAAAATGTATTAATTTATCATGCAGTAACAGTGAGATTAATTCACAAAATCTGCTTGATATAATTAAATAAATAAAATAACATTTTTAAGTTAAAAAAAAAAGTGAAAAGTGTAAAAAAAAAAAAAAATTGTGAAAAGTGTAAAAAAAATAAAAAAATGTGTAAAAAATAAAATAAAATAAGGGACAAATAAATGAATGTATTTATTGCATTTTTTTAGCTGTGCTGGTTTTGTAAAAAAAATACTACAAATCAAAACTGGGAAAAAAGTGTTTTTTTTTAACGTTTTTTTCCTCTTTTTTTATATTTTATTTGTCCTAAGTGAGGCGTTAGACGCACATATGTGATATAAATATGTAGCCCTATCTGTCCTCTAAAAAACAACATATAATATGTGTGGGTGCACTTTGTAAGAAAGTATATTACTGACGTGGAAGAATCACACAGCAAAAATGTCAAAAGTGTGTCAGTCATTTACGAACAGAAACTAAAAACAAGCTCAGTCATGAAGGGGTTAAAGTAGGGTGCCTAATCTCTGAACTAATGCATACAGTTCAAGCATAACATGCTGGGTCAAGTGAAAGATCCTTAGAATGCAGAACTAGGCACTCATCATACTCAATTTTTACATTTTTTAGCTGCTGTGTGGGCAGTAGATATAGTTCCCCTTTTTGTGGAGAAAAGCTAATGAAAATTACTGTGTGAGAGTACAACATTAATAGGTTACATTTGTAGCAAATCTCCAGGCACAAAATAAATATAGCCCCAAAGCACCCTTCCAGCCAGCCACTGGCAGAATACCCGAACAGAGGCGTCAGCTTATTGTCTGCCGCGTCTGTGTTTGTTTGAAGATTTTCTGACCGGCTCCTTCAATCAACTGATCAAGAGATGCCAGCCTTAAGGGTGCTAACAGCAGCACCCACTGTGAATTTCATCCGGTTCATTAACCTGCTAGAATTTGCATAGTGTATGGCCAGCTTTACATGGTTCCTGCAGCAAGATGTGGTTTTTCTTCTGTCCTGTGACATAATCCTACAGCAGCATGATTCTGGAGAAGTCTGCAATGCACCCTAGGTAATTTCCTAAGTGACTTTGCTTGTCCTGCAGTAATATTTCTAATAGCCCTTTTCCTATACAGTGAGCTCAACTGTCAACATGCCAGCGCAGTTACCGTGAGTGTGTCCCAGAAGTGAGTACTCTGTATCGGCGAGTGCCAAAAGATA